TTTTTTTTGCATTTGGCCAGCTCAATTTAAAACTTAGGTAAAAAGCAAATGTGCTGCACATGTGTAGAGGAAGAACGTGGCTACAAAAGGCACACCTCACACTCCCTCCCTCAGACAGCTATTCTGAGTGTGCAACAGCCAAGTTCAAAGTTATTCTGTGACAGCAGTCTTATTTTGCTTTTGTGTTTAGCCAAAACAATTCTATACTAGTTCATGTTCATCCTTGAGAATTTCTGAGAGGTTGTCAATAAATTTTTAATTAACTTGGTTGTTATAGTTTTAAATTATATATGTTAATATTATAAAAGCAAACATTTAGCGATGACTGTGTGTCAGACACTGTTATGAGCGGCTGGCAGTGTCATGTCATTTAGTCATCACAGAACCTATGAGACGGATGTTCTTACCACCACCAGCATCATTTCACTGATGAGGAGACAGAAGCACCCAAAGGTGAAGTACTGAATTGGCCCGTTCCAGTCAGTGTGTGGAAGGCAAAATGCACTCTTGGAACAGAAAGGGATTTCTCGTGAAGTATTGGTAAAGTGTCGAGTGGCTTGCAGAGTCACTGCTGGGGCTGAGGAAACAGACAACAGGGAGAGCTCCAGGAACAAGAGCGTCGGGAACGAGGAGGCAGGAGCCGGGCTGCCCGGGCGAGGACGGGCTGCACTAGCCGTGCAGGGGGGCGGGGTCGTGTGAACGTCGTGTAAGTAAAAACATGCACGTTTCCCGGTTTCTTTTAAAGCTCTCTCTCAGTGATATTGGATAAGGCACGTTGTGTGTGTATATATGTGTGTGGGAGACATTTCAGTGTGCTAAATATTATATCACTTTATTCCAGTTTCTATTATCAAGACTCAGACTATTAAAACTCTACCCATTTTGATACTAAACTGTAATTTGCATTTCCCATTCCTGGACTCTCAGCTAACTTCTGATTTCTAAAATCTGGAAAGAAATGTCTTCCTCTTTTCTCATGCAGTGCAGGTTTGGGGGTGATTAGGGTCCATTTGAGGTCAGCAGTAAGAATGAGACAGAAGAGAGAATGAAAACCTCGGCCTGCAGGAGCAGGTCTCGCAGAGTTAGCCACTCCCCGGCCTTCCAGCACGTGCACCCAGAGTGTCTCCAATCCCTCGAGATCCTCGTGACCTGTGTGTGAGAGGTTTGTGGCCTGCAGCTTGGCCTCAGCAACACATTGCATGTAACTTTGCAGCCTCACTTTACCACTCCCTGAACACTGGCCGTCGTGAGCTTACTTGTACCACTTGTACCTTTACCTTTTTTACCTTTACCTTTGTACTGCTGCTGTCCCCCAGTACTCTGCTCAGATGTGACTGGCTCACCCTGGCTGCTTTGACTGGATAGGAGGCCTCTCACTTGTCCTCATGTAGCACCCAAGGTCCGTCTGCCTTTGTCACCCTGCAGTGCAGTTGTCTGTGTGGCAAGTATCATCTCGGTCCACAGACTCAATCTATGAACTCAAGACTTTGCAGGAATAAAGCTGACATTTTCTCTTGGGTTCATATTCTACCTAGTGGCCTAAATTTAACTTAGTTCATGGTAAACTCGGATAAATCTGGCTTTTCTTCATTAGTTCAGGCACCCTCCCCCCTGCCTGGTTGCCTCTAACTTTTAGGGTTGTGATAGGGATGGTTTCATTGTCCAAGGGAGGCTTCAGGTCCTGAGTTGACCTCCGTCCATGCTGGCATTGGCTGAATGCCGTCATCCCCACTGGCCTGCAGCATCTGCGTCTGCTGTGGGTATCTCTTGGATGTCTGCAGTCCCAGCCGGCTCTGGTCACTAACCCTGTTGCTTCTGACCACCAAGCCCCTGCCACACCTCTGTCTGGGCTGGGAAAAATTGTGGATGAGCTGCCTGGTGGCTCTGGTGCTGTGAGAAATTCAGACTTTTGCCAGCCAAGTTGGTCTTTATTGCTACCCTGCCAAGAGTGTATGGGTGGGGCAGGGAGGTTGAAGAAGGCGGGCATTTGCTTTGCAAGGCCTGCCACCTCTCACAGGGAGAGGAGAGTGCGATAGCTTCTGTTCTCAACGCTCCAACCCTCACTGTGGGTCTATCCCACCCTTACTTGAGAATTCAGTCCTAGAGTTTAGGGCAGGGCACCCCTTCCTTCTCAGCTCTCTTTTTCCTCAGCCTGTCTCTTCCTCCTGCTCTACCCCAGCCCGGTTGAACGCTTCTCAGTGGGCCTGGCCGTTATGTTATTGTGTGCTGGTTTGGGTGCAAACTTGCCTTTTGGTACTCAGAAGGCTGAGGCTCCTGCAAGCTGCTGACTCTGCAAGTTTCTAAGAGTCTATTTTGGAACTTAAAAGATTTGCTTTTCCTTCTTTGTTGTCTTATTCCTGCCTTTGTTTCTGTCTTACTAAGAATAGAAGAGCAGCGGCAGAAAGCTCGAGAGGAAAAAAA